GCTAGAGACTTGAAATTTGGAACACATACTCGTGTATATCTCCGATTTATAGTGTTAAATTTTTTCCGATCCGCCCACTAGGGGCGGAAAATGTATTTTTAAATTCTTCTATATTTTGGACACTATTGATGCTAGAGACCAAATTTTGTATTTATACTCGGGCTGACCACCCAAGACCAAAAAGCTTCTACAGATATATGTCTGCCCACAGGGGGCGTGGTAAACCGCAAAAGTTTATATCTCCTAAAGTATATTAGCTAGAGCTTCAAATTTTGATAGTTAAGTTACTAGTAACCTCCTCCATCGATGACCCAAAAATAATTTTTGCGCCTCTTTGAGGGCGTGGCACATCGAAAAATACACTGTAATTTTCTGATTTTAGGAGCGTAAGCATCTCAGTTTTGCAGTTAGGTTATCGTTAGCTTGTTTTATGAACTGGCCAAAAATTAATTATCTACGCCCAGTAGGGACGTGGCAAATCGAGAAAAAATGAATTTTCTACAGTATTAGAGCAAAACTTGGCTACTAAATTGCTGATGGGATGTGAATGAGTATTCCGCAGTCGGTAACGATCGACTGCAACGTTCTTTCTTGTTTAAACGTAAAATGAGCAGTGGCCCCCTTGTGCGTCAAGGTGTGAATAAAATAGCTTGCGATTAAAAAAGTTATTCACTTATCATTATTATTTAACTTAATTATTTCCTACTATGTATTTTTGTTCATCTAAATTATTTCAATCCTCTAACACTTATAACACTTTTTCAGTACGTCAATTTTGGGGTCACACAAAGGGCACTGAATTAAATTTAGGATATCCTGGTATCGGAACATTTCTGAAGTGTCCACTATGTGACTCTTCCGTATACACCTACTGCTCGAACAAGGTGGAACATGATGCTTGTTGTTGTTTTATTCCAGGTGAGTGTCTATATTTTGTGGCAAATTATAAAACATTTATATATGTTTTATCCGCAGGACATCAGTTTCATCCCACTCAATGCACAATCTACAACTGCTCGCTTTTGTACGCCAAGTCCTGCTTTGAACATGCCCTAATTAAGAATTGCTGCTGTGAGAATTCATATTAGATATAAAAGCTACTCAAAATTTCCATCATTTTTGTACCTCATTATATATTAAGTTTTTAAAATTAAAACATTTGAAAAGGTGTAGTCGAAACAGCTTTACTTCGAGATACCCTCAACCCTTAGATGAATTAATATTTCAATAATTCTTCGTTTTTCATCTGCTTACTCAAGAAACAAATAATGCACATATACACATACATATGTATGTATGTATATAAGCTTGTACGCATAAAGCATGCAGTGTGGACTTACTATGGAAAACTAGTTCAAGAATATCTATTTGAAAGCGGGCGAGATCACCAATCATACACCACATAGACTAGACATCTAGACTAAACTTGTTCAACGAAGAATAAGTCCATATTTTTTGGCTCAGATGAATGACAAATTTTTATAATAATTACCAATATGTGCAGTTTGTTTCCTTAAACTATCTATCTCTACGAATTATTCCTCTTTTCATGTACGCAACAGCAAGCATTAGTTCACAAAAATTAAAATATCTTCCGAAAGATTCCAGTTCTTCCTTTTTTAATGAAAAGTATACCGTTATCTTAAAGGAGATTGACACGTTCATGCAAAATGTTTAGACGCTGTGACGTCATTATTTAAGAATATGGTGCAAGCGAGTTACACCAACGCCACCCACAAAGCCACCCAGAATATATATTTATAAACATATGTATGTACACAGATATTCCAAACATCAGCGAGTGGAGCGTTAGCTCCGTTGTAGAATTAAGTTTTGAATGAATGCTGCCATATGCATATGGTTTAAAATTTAATTTTCGATATATATATTTAAATAAATATAAATGATATAAATATACAGTGTATGAATGCAATGTAAAATATTTATTGAATTCCTTGTCTAGAATACTCACTAAAATACCGCTGTGGTAACTATAAACTGCTTCACAAGTCCTAACGGTTATATCACTGACCAAAGAACACATAGTCCACTAGCCGATAAATTGCAAAGCATATAATCACTGACCAGAGAACACATAGACTAGACATGTAGAACACCTCGACACTGTTAAGTTGAGGTACCACTATTCTTCGTATTTGCTCGGCTCG